GCTAAGGTTCAATTTCTTTTTGGCAGCAGGATCAGAAAATAATGCCTTGTTTTATCAAAGTGCAGCAGTTTTGATGACAGATTGGCATTATAAGGCAAATAGAGTCTTCTTGGACACATTACTTCATTAACCGCAATTTATTGCGTTGCATAATTGAATATTTATTTTGCATTAAAATATTTTATGATTGGCAACCTGGAGTAACTCAAAGCATGAGTTGGAAAGTAATGTGCACATATTCCGAGCTTATAGCGTTGTTTTGAATTTTGCAAGAATTCTCAGTGTCCCGTAATTTTTTGTAATTCTGTGTAAACTAGATATCAGTTTCTGACATTATACGTCTAATTAATTTCCAACGATTGACTTGTTAAGGATTCTTAAAAGTAATTAGATATTCAGGATAGCTCTGATAATCAAAGAAAATGACAAACATCAGTGGTTTTGTTACATTATCACAACAGAGTCGTAGCAGACGGTCTGGTTGTTTTTATCAATTGGAGGAGGCACGAGTAATCCTTTTCCTTTCGTGTATGTACCAACAACACTCGAGCATAGTACATATACTGTAAGCCTTTATCATCATCTAGAGCAGCACAATTCATTCTTGCCGAGTTCCAAGCATGCTTTGCAAAGTATACTCCTTTGCCGAACTTTACAGCTGTGAAGAAAAGAGGTATTTTCGTTATATGTTGGCATCAAGGTGTGGCGGACGCCCCCTTCCCTCCTATTTCGAACATGACGTCACAGCCGCCAGGTACTCTTTTGTCTGGAACACCAACATGGCCGCCATGGCTTTGGTTGAGTTGGTCCCTGGGGAATGAGTGCGAACGCTCTATTGCCTGACCATGTAAGGGGTGGGCCATTAGGTATCCTGTGAGAGGGGTAGAGTAGAATTTAAAAAAATAATGCAATCATTTAGAGAAAGATAACAAATACTGCAACTATTTGGAATATACATAAAGCTTCTATACCGTAAAAACAAGTTCAACAAAGCTCCAAACTTTAAAAATTGTTGCAAGGAAAATTTCCCTTCCCAGGATATATAATGGACCACCCCCAAGTAACACATCAAGACTAGATCAGGTCAGTGTTGTTTATTCTTACATGCCAAAGACGGACACGCAAAAAATATTAGCTTACCATTCCTTCCACAGTAAGCTCTGTTAAAACCAGTTGTATTAATATTCTCCACGGCAGCCTTTTCAGTTCCTTGAAACAATCTCATTTCATTTCCACCATTGCTCATCTTTTTCTTTTGCCCTTCATAGATCTCGTGCAATCGAGGATTTTGAATTCTTTCAATTCTTACAACTTCGGCGTTTGGCAGTGTCGTTATCAGTGACGCTTTAAACATGTCATGGATTTGGTCGTATTCCATATCATGTTTTTCAATGGTGAACCGGTGGATGTCGCGTTCTTTGCCAGTGGAACAATCTATTGGTTGAAATTCCCAGTTTGGAGGCAGTGGAAATGCTAGAAAGGTACAGATGCATGTATGTGAAAAGATCTACCAAGAATTGCATACAATAGTTTTATTTCGAGTCTGATTATAACTTCACCTCACCACATGTGAAAAGGGTGTTTTCAGTGTGACTTTATACTTAACACCCCACTCCTGTTGTGACGCTGGACCGACATGTCATGGTCTTTACTTAGACATCTTAGGGGGAACTGTTTAGAAATGATAGGCGTAAGTACGCGGTGTGTAAAAAACTGCACAGTTCTAAAATGTCCGCTAAAGTGCAAATTCCGGAAAACGTTTTGAAAACTTTATGGACCAACATGCCATGGTCTTTACTTACAGTGCACCATTTAAGGAGTACCGAGTGGTTTTATATGTGATAAAATATCATGTTCATTTACACAAACTTTAACTTTGATTTTCTCGAGATCGGAAGAG